AAAAAAAAAAAAAAAAAAAAAATAGAGGCTGAATACATTTTCATCGATTATAACTGTATGTACTATAACAAACAACTATGGTAATAGCTACTCAGCAAACTAGCCTGCTCAGACAATTATTTGCTAAATAAAAAGCAATCCTATGAATGGTATTCATAACATTGGACGAGTTTAAGGCAACAAGTTTTCTAGTCGAGTAGACTTTCTTGAGTGTCATCGTGAGTTTCTGCCCGTTGCCTTCAACCTCGACAAATGAGCCTGAGCTTAGAGTACCTGCAGTGCACGTTCCCAATTTTTGTGTACATGTCAACAAACATGCTGCATATGTACACATCGTCTCTGAACCTACTACGGCTGACGTACTCGTCCATCAATTTTGCCCGCTCGAGCGACTAATTGGGCCACAACCAGTACAAAGGATTGTATGGTTCCCCATCTTCCCATGCCTTTCCCGATATGGACTCGGAAAATAGCTCCATAGCATCCTCAGCCTCTCTCTGCGCAAAAGCCTTTATTCTTCGTTGCTGGCTAGTCTATTGCAATTACTTTCTTTCTATAGGGAAGCACAACCATTTTTGGCAAAGCCTGAGATTATTCCAAATAATTACATTTTTCCCTTCAACCCGTCGAACAAGAACTTTGTATCTTCCACGAGCTCGCATTTTTCATCCAGATAAGTAAGCACGATTCGCAGGTCTGGGATCGAGTTCAAATCTCATTTTCACAGCAAATCCATGGCTGCATTTCCCTGTCTAAGCCCATCAATCTCGGAACACGCCTTGAGAACTCAAGTTGTCAAAAACAACACGCGACCATTCTCTTCGCACCTGCATATCAAAGCCTCCTGACTTCATAACCCCTAAGTGTGTCATCAGATCATTAAAAATGTTCTTGGAGTTTCACTGGCAAATAATCGAATCAAACCACTGGCTTAAGAAAAACAACTCAGATCCTTATTCACATCAGATGCGGCCGTACACCAAGGTCAGTAGGCCCGCACAAGCTATATAAGCACCAATGGGAAGGTGAATCTGACCGGATAACTTGGCCCCGCTGCATTCCCGAGTACATGCTGAGAACTGCTGAACAAGAGGGGCTCGGTTCTTTAGGTGATTGGACGCGGTTCTTCGGCCAAAGCTCGGTGCTGGAAGGCTGCTCGCTCCAGAGTGCACTCAGAAACCTTGTACGCTCGTCTGAGCCGTGATTGGTCTGCTCTCGGTCGCCGGCGGTCTGCTTTGCCGAGGAGATCTGCTTCAGCCGGGTACAAGGGCTGGTCTTGGTCGCTCTGGTCCGACTCGCCTCGCCGGTAACTGGTGCTTCGATCGCCGGTTTCTACTTGGCTAACGGTCTTCTTCCACCGGAGATTTGCTGCTGGAGTTTCTCTTGCCGGGAGAAGAAATTTAGGGAATTTTGAGAGGGGAATTGATGTGGAAAAATTAGGGCGACATACTGTGGGTTGAGAAAACTTCGATTTGTCTCGATCGGGAATTCATCTAACACACGGGCATTGAATTGCTGTGGATTGATGATTTGGGGTTTTTTTTTATGATAAATTTGAATAGAGAATTTTTTGTTCAAGATAAGATATGGAGATGTATATTCTGAATTCTGATCGTTTGGAAATCAAATATAAAAAAATAAAATAAAATTAGGCCACTTTCTGGTAGCAAATAAAAAAAAAATCAATCAAATTTTAATGATGAATATAAATTTTGTGATTGTTACTGATCGAAAAGGGCATATTTTAATGATGAATATAAATTTTGTGATTATTACTAAACCACTTATGACACAAATTTGTCACAAAGCAAAGTTATATAACGACGAATTATACGTGAGCGTCATTTTAAATACAAATAAAAATCAACGATTTTTATCGTCACAGTGAATTTCGTCACGATATTGTATTATTGTGACGAATATAAATGCATTATACCCATATTGTCACAAAAGAAAGTTGTATGATGACGAATTATACTTATGCGTCATTTTAAACACAATAAAAACACAACGATTTTGATTCGTCACAGTGACTTTCGTCATAATATGTATTAATATGACGAATTCAGTTGTTTTATAGTTTATCGTCACAAAACAAAATTATATAATGACGAATTTTTTGCAAGCGTCATTTCAAATACAGAGAAAAACAACGAATTTGTTTTCGTCATAGTGAATTTCATCACAATACGTATTATTGTGACGAATTTAGATGTATTATAATGTATCGTCATAATAAATAATTATATAATGACGAATTTGCCGCAAGCGTCATTTTAAATAACAGCAACAGTGACGATATTTTGTTTGTCACATTTAATTTCGTCACATTTTATATACATGTGACGAATTTAGATGTATATGTGACGAATTGAGTTGCACTGTCATGAAAAACTCCATTATGTGACGAAAAAAGAATTCTACGATGACGAATATAGGAGTCGTCGTTGTATGCAATGGTGTAATGACGATTTATTAAATTGTCACCGTAAGGCAACATACGGTGACGATTTATTTTTCGTCACATGAATTTTCGTCACTTTTCGGCAGATTTCTTGTAGTGTTTGGTGCGCTGGTGGAACATTGGATTGGATGTAATGTGCATGTGTTGATGAGTGTTTTCGATCAACGGTTTGTTAAAAATTTCAAAGTGGATTAAGGAATTTTAATGCATGCGTCTAGCTGTTATCTAGTAGGAACGAAGTCGGGTAAGCTGGAATATATAAGGAAATGACCTCAGAGATCTGATTAATTACGGTGATCACCGTTGAATATGATATTTGATGTTTGTTATAGAGGACATATATCTCCTTGCCGAGAATTTCCTCGGGATCCCTCACAAATATGACTCGGGACTATTTATAGTAAGGTTCCTTGATCACTGTTCATCGGGTTACATCAAGCATCAAATCTTGAATGACAGACATTTTAATATTGCACATGACTCTATGAGACTAGAGCACATAGGTCTGCAGGGAAGGTGGATGTGTCCCATCAGTCATCATTTTGCTGCAAGTCGCTTTATTTTAATTTTTTTCCATTCTTAGTACGATTTGAGCTCCGACCTCTTCGATATCCTGAGGTTGGACTATTGACGTGACTTTACTCCATCTTCACCTTCACTCACAGACTAACCCTTGTTTCCAGAGGCCCGACTTGAGTGTCGAGCACAATAGACCAAGTTTCATATCCTTTAGGTCGGGCTACCGGCAACCCATTGATGATTCTTCTGGGCCACTGTTTTCCTTCTCATCCTTTGTTTTTGATATGGGATATTAAATAGCTAAGGAATAGACCGGTTTGCATCATCGGTCGAGCAACCTCGAAGTGGAGAAAGCCGGATTGGTAGAAGGATGATCGACCAGAAGGAAAGAGATCGAGCAGAATAGCAGAACTGGTCGAGGATCGACCAAAAGGGAGGAGATCGAGCAGAATAGCAGAACTGGTCGAGGATCGATCGAAAGGGAGGGGATCGAACACTCAACAGGTGAAGAGCAGTCTAGAGCGTGGCTTGAACGCGAGAAGGCGCGTGGATGGCGTTAGAAGATCCCAACGGCCTGCGCGGAAGAATAATCTCCCTCAGCTCAGAGGGACACGTGGCGAGAATATATTGGTGCAGAGTGATAGTGGCGAAAGCCACCCCTGACATTTCTGACACACGCACACTATGTGTGCACGGACGGGCAGTACGGGCAGGACAGCTCACCAAAAGCCGGGCAGTTCCTAGGGCAGGTATCTCACCCCTATATATATGGGAGTGGGTCTTTTCTTGTAGCCTACGATTTATCCATTCTTTACTTTGGAAAATTGGGAAAAACACATACTGACTTAAGCATCGCAGGCTCTTCACCGGAAAACCCCTCCGGTGTGAGAGTTCTGTGCAGGTGCGCGGCGTTCTACCAGCGAGGAAGAGGAAGGCAAACCGATTTCAAGACGGTCGGAGTGTTTTGCATTACCATTTGGTGCCGTCTGTGGGACTTTCGTTCGAAAAGCGGTGTGCTGAGCTTTCTGAAGCTCGATGGCTATGGCGGACGGAATTCCTAGAAGAGATTTGCAAGCATCGTTCGACGACGCATGGACGATGACGAGGCCATTTGGAGAGGGCCCTCCCGTGGGCTTCTCTAGACCCTCGCATACACCGGTGACTCCGACGCCCGTTCCCCAAGGTGTAGGAGCTACGCCGGTGCAACCAGAGGCGGATGTGGGCTCAAGACGGGCCTAGGAGACTCGCGCGGCTCAAGGAGCGGCGATCCCAGTGCCGTTGCAACCAGATCTGGCCGTGGCACGACAACAAGGAGCGGTGGTACAGGGAGCAGTACCGCCGCCGGTGGAAGAGCCATGTCCCGGCCAGCAGGTGGTGATGACCAGGCAAGAGATGCAGCAGATGGTGGCGAACGCGGCGGCACAAGCGGTTCAGCAAGTCACTCAAAGCCTTTCGCGAGTGGCTGCTGGACCAACGATGATGGATGAGGACGTGTCTAGCTATGGAGGAAATGGAGCCCCGCGAGATCGGGAGATGGAGAGACTCGCGGAGCAGGTGAGGCAGATGCAGGCTAAGATGGATGGTCGACCTGAAAGGCGTGCACGAGGACATCCGTTCTCGAGGGATATATTGGCTGCACCCTTACCTGCGAATTTTAGAGACATGAGTTTGGTGTTCGATGGGACCACTGATCCGTCGAGGCACGTAAGGGCATTTGAGAACTTGGCTGTGTTACATGGTTATTCTGATTCTGTTAGCTGCAGGGCATTCTTATGGACCTTGAGAGGAGGCGCGCTCTATTGGTTCCAGCAGCTCCCTCATGGAGCGATCGAGGACTTTGATGATTTCGCAGAGAAGTTGATGACCCAATACGCGAGCGCTGTGGCACAGGAGAAAACATATTTGACGCTGATGGCCATGAGGCAGCGGGAGAAAGAGTCGTTGCGCAAGTATGTTGTGCGATACAATCAAACTTGTTTAGAGATCCCCACGGCCGCGGACGAGGTGAAGGCTGGGGGGTTGATACGGAGTCTACGAGCAGGGCCCTGTCGAACATCTTTAGCCAAAACTCCCTGCTCGTACGTATGACAAAGTGCTGAAAAGGTGTAAGAAATATATTAATCTGGAGGAGACGGAGGCAGAGTTTGCTAAGTTGGAGGAGTTGGCTAAGCTGGAGCCGAAGAAGGGAAGGGCAAGCTCACCTCGAAGGGCGTCGCCGGGTAGGAGATCGCCCAGGAGAGAGGGGCGTGGCAGGTTTGATCGAGAACGAGAGGACAGGTGGAAGGATCGACCAGTGTTTGGAGGGAAGCGGTTCCATAACTTCACACCCCTTAATGCAAAAATAGGAGAGGTGTTGATGGCTATTGAGAAGAAGATCGAGGATAGGGATGTGACGTGGCCAAAATCGAGGCGTGAGGGGCCAACGCAGCCTAGGTCAGGGAAGTACTGTCGTTTTCATAAAGATTATGGGCATACGACGGAGAAGTGCCGGCACCTCAAGGAAGAGATCGAGCGCCTTATTAGGGTCGGGTATCTAAAGGAGTTCGTGTATGAGGACAAGGCGAAAGGGAAGGACAAAGGAAAGTGTCGGGAGGATTCGGTGGAGCGGAGTGACCAAGATGATGATGAGGAAGGTGATCCTCGAGGAGGGAGAGGTGATCGAGGAGGCAAAAGGAGACGAGGGAGTCGAGATCGGGAAGGTCAGGCGGATCATGGCCCTGTGAAGAGGGGGACGATCTATATGATCTCGGGGGGCCCGACTGATGGGGACTCGAACAATGCAAGGAAGGGCCATGTTCGAGCGATGAAAAGAAAGAGAGAGGAGGTGGGGATCACTGCGCGGATGCCGGATATAAGTTTTCGAGCAGAGGATGCAGAGGGAGTGGTGTTGCCCCCACAATGACACGTTGGTGATAACACCGGAGGTGGCAGGCTTTGATGTAAAGAGGGTGTTCATTGATACGGGGAGCTCGGTGGATGTAATATTTTATGATTGTTTTGTGCAGATAAATAAAGAACTCAACCTCGAGCTGAAACCGGTGACCACAGCCTTGTATGGATTTAATGGAGGCGAGGTGATGCCGATGGGAGAGGTGAGCCTACCTGTCGCCTTGGGGCATGGGATATCAAGGAAGGGAGAATGGTGAGGTTTGTGGTCGTTGGAGCAGAGTCATCATACAACATCATAATGGGAAGGACCAGTTTTGAATGCATTCCAGGCGGTCGTGTCGACGTACCATATGACGATCAAATATCCAGTGGGCGAAAACGTTGGGGAGGTCGTAGGAGATCAGCTTACCTCGAGGAGTTGTTATCAAACCACGGTGAGCAACAATAGACAGCTCTCGAGAAAGCAGATGAAGCTCGAAGAGGGGATGTCAAATCGACCAGGAGGTTCGAGGTCGAAGGAGGAAAAGGAGAAGGTAGATAAG